TGCATTGTGGTTGAAATAATGAGAATATTTAACGGTTTTGAAAGTAAATTTCTTCTTTAGATTAGTATCCAGGGCGGAGATTCATGTTCTTAAATGCGATTTTTATTTATCTAGAAAATTCTAGACGGTAGATATTCTGCGAACCTCCAACTGAAGGTCATTGTTAGTTCTATGTAGCATAATATCTATCTATATGACTTTATATATATATATATATATATATATATAAATTAATAAATATACACATATCTACATTTGGTGTGTGATTCTATTATGTTTACACATCTTGTCAAAATATGGTAATTATTTATTTACTTATCTATATATACAAGCCACCACGCGTGTATACCGTTGCTTATATTTAGTTATTTCATTTTCCAAAACCTACATATATATATATGCATTTAACGACATGCATTTAACGGATGTCAGATTTCATTGAAAAATACATACCTACCCCTACTAAAACGTAACTAATAACTGATACATCAAAATACAGACCTAATGAACACGCAAACACCCCTTGTCTCGTTGGATTGGATTTCTCTGTATCCTTGCAAAAGTGAATTAAGATTTTTGCTGTGCTTTTAAAACCCAGTAATAAGTTGCTCCAAAATTCACTTGAGGATGAAATGGAACTAATGTCTTTAATATAATTACAAAATTAAATTCGAAGCTTTCATCTTCGATTTTTGAAACATGTTCAGAAATGTGTAGCGAAAAAAATCATATTTTAAATCAATTAATTTATAATATTAATACTCTGTAAATTTACATTGAGCACTATTTTGTAAAAAATAAAAATATCTATAAGAACACCGGATTATATATCTTACTCTACTTTCTCTCTCTCTCTGTATATATATATATATATATATATATATATATATATAGATATAGATAGATAGATAGATAGATGTAGGTATGCATGGGAATATTTCAAAACATAGTCAGCACTTTGCGGGCATGTTCATAGTTAATATCACTGACAGTTGTCTTGCCTTATTTCATTATTAATGCTTCCATTATGTTTAACTGTTTTTTTGCATATGAGTGAGGCCATTATGGTCGTATTTCAACAAGTATACTGGTGGAAAAGCTAACATTAATTGCAGCTTCTGGGAGATAATATATGAAATGGCATGATCAACAGTTTGAACCATGCCAATATGCTCACACACCCAGGCCCGAGTAGATCCGACTATCCAATTCAACTCACAAGGAATGTATATATATATATATATATATATATATATATATATATATATATATATATATATATATATATATATTATATATATATATATATATATATATATTGACTTTCTTATGTTAATTTCATTTTCTGTTTCACTAGGACTGCTTAGTTAGTGACGTGTTTGCTTCTAGCATTTATAGTCTGTATTTGAGTTAAAAATGTTTTAATTATTTTTTAAGTCAAGCCAGCCTACGTTGCAGTAAAAGCTGCCTTTTTCCCCTGAAGAAATCAGCGTGTTCTTTAGTCAGTACAACTCTCGACACCTACATGGTTAAGCGAATTGATTTATCTCTTTCCGTTAATATTCTCTTTCTATCACCGAATGCGTGTATAAATTAAATGTACATATTCCCTTGAGGCGAAAGCCTCACCCTCGATAATCTTAGTATGTCGAACACTTATCTTTGCCATTCACTATTAATGTCATTTTGACCAATTCCTTTTCTCTTTCATCCATTGTATCTCAAGATCTGCCGCTGCCATTTCCACTTTTTCTAGTCTTTCTTTCCCGAATCTAATCCATCCGGTGACAAATAAAACAAAGAAATTTATCGTAATGGTAATATTAACCGTTTCCTTATACGAAAATATTCGACATTATTTGACTGCCCAGCTAGTGCTACTATCGGTTGGAATTTATTAAAGCTATCTATAAAGTATTTTTTCAGATAAATAGGCTGTTCAAATTTTATTTTATTGCTCTTTTTACGGTTTATCGACCTATTAAACACTGAGCCGTTATCCATTACAATAAACGTACAATTAAACTTACAGCACTGCGTACTGACAAAAGATCACCTATGTAGGTACTGCTCAGGCACGACGTTGCTTAACTTCGGTGATTGTACGAACACATGTGTTTCAATGTGATCTGGAAGTCCTACCAGTCCTTAACAAGATCAGATATGTAGATGACAGAATATTGATACCTGACATAACGAAAACTACAGGTACTCATATAGAGCGTAGAAAAGGAAAGCTAGAAGAAAGGACTAACCATCGGCTTCGACAAAATATATAGTTTTCAGCAAAAGAAAGAGTCCAACATGCAAATTAAAAATTGGAGATACCAAAATTAGACAAGTGAAAGAATTTCAATAGCTAAGGAAGTGTTTTAACAAAAGGCGGAAAATGCAACACCGAAATCCGAAGGTTCATTGGGACAGTGTAAGTTGTCTTCAAAACGCTAAGCAAAATATTAAGAAACAGGAAAATGTCGTTAGAAACAAACAGTACTGAACTGTTGCATATTATCGGTCCTCCTATAAGGCTGTGAATGGTCGACGATTCCATCCCAGATGAAGAAGAGACTTTAGGCAACATAAATTATACAGAAAAATGGTGATGATGCTATGGACTGAACATGTGAGTAACGATGAAGTTTTAGTTAAATTTAAACGAAAATAACACTTACTTAACATCAGAAAAAAAACAGTTGAAATTGTTAGGGCATATAATGAAGAAAACGGGCTTCGAAAATTTTACACTGACAAGATAGATTGAAGGCAAACCGGAGAGAGGAACGCAGTGTAAATCCTACCTAACGAGCCTGCGTTATTGATTGGCAGAAATGGATTTTTTAATCGATTCCACCCAAGCAAGTCAAGAAAACCACTGAGACACAAGACGTTATTGTGTGTGGATGAATCAGAAACAGAAACATTACTAAATAACGAGAACAAAAAAAGTAATCAGGAGGACAATAGATAGCGATTGACATTGCATTTATTTTTTTAAGTTTAAAGTTGGCCGGAAAGCATGGAGACGGAAGGGAGAACCACAAGCGAGAAGTGCGAGAAAAGAAACTGTTAGCATAGAATTTTCGGTTACATCTAGCCAGCTGTGAACTAATGAGATCTCGACGCCAGTACTGCGGTTAAATTCAAAAAAGTCTAGCTATCATACCGAAGAGCTCGCCTGAACAATTACCATAAAAGTATTTATTGAAAAGACACAGTGAGGCTGCCTTACTGCGGTGGGAAAATGACTGAAGCCGAGATGCCAGATCAGGGCCAATTATATTGTTGATTCTTCTTTGGATTTTATCAAGGAACTCTAGATAAATAGCAGGTGCACCGAACCATATGTGGCAGTAATATTCTAAGTATGGATGAATGTTAGACTTCAGCGTGAAAAATTGTCTTACGCGATACAGTGAACCAATTTTCTTAGTAACAGACCTAGTTTCATGTCAGCCAAACAAATTTGTAATCACGAATAGACTCATCCAAGTCTTTCTGAATCCTCTGCACTTTCCTCAGATTGACACCCAAACACTCTGAAATATTCATATTGGAACTTCCGGCGTGAATGCCAACCAGTACTGCATGCCGTTTCCAAATTTCTGGCGGAGTGAATTGCTTCATGGTACTCTATTTCTCACAAACGATGCCTTACTGACCGTAGTATACTCTGCGGTCGACAACATAAAAAAAAACAAACAACGCGCATGCGCGAAATTAAAAATGTAAAATCGCGACAATTTATCCATCGCACCCTGTATTTAGCCCTTATCTTGGTAGAGGAGAAGAAACTCATTCATACTGTTTCGAACGGTCATCTTCGAAAAAGTGAATGCAGCAGACTAAACCGGAATTTGAATTCTATTCACCACTTCCACTTTCAACATCGATATCCGTTACGCTACCTGAACATCCTTGTATTTAAAATTAATGATAATAATAATTCAATTGTAGCAAAAAATTCCATTGTTGCCATTCTGAACACAACAGTTACAGGAAGTCTTTAGAGCACACAAAAAATAGCGTCGAGATATTATCGGACGTCTTTTATTCATTCTGACGGCAGGTAACTCATTCGTTTTTTTTTTTTTTTTTTTTTTTTTGTTATCTGCAATTAATTTGCCAAGGCGCCAAGTATAGAAACAAATCGAATGAGAAAAAAAAATGGTTCTTATGGTGAAGTTGATTTAGAGAGACTGGTAGATTCCGTAAAGATATAGAATGGACGAGAGAGATGGTTGTTTTTTTTTTGTTGTTTTTGGTTTTTTTTTGTTTTTCCTAAGAGAAAGTCAAAGACTCGGACGAAAGAAGATGATTAATATTAAAACAGGAGTAGAAGAGTAGAAGACAAAAAAAGGATGAACGACTGATTGAAATGAGAATTATAAAATGTATTGGGTACGAAATAACAAGAAAGAAAGAAAGAAAGAAAGAAAGAAAGAAAGAAAGAAAAGAGAAGATCAAAAAGAAAGACAATAGAAAAAAGACAGAAAAGAGAAAATTAATAAAGAAAGAAGAATGAGAGAAAAGAAGGAAAGAAAAAATAATAAAGAAAGAAAAAATAAATAAAACACAGAGAAAAAAGAAAAAGAAGGAAAAAGAAAAGAGAAAATTAATAAATGCAAGAAAAAAGAAAGAGTGAACAGAAAGAACGAAAAGAGAAAGAAGAGGTAAAAAAAGGAAAGAAAGAACCAAAGAAGAAAGAAAAGAAAAAAGAAAGAAATATCAAACATGATGATGAAAGTAAAGAAATGATGAAAGATTGAAAGAAATGAGAATTATAAAATGTATTGAGTATGAATAACAAGAAAAAAGACAGAAAGAAACAAAGTTGGAAATGAAGAAAGACAATGGAGAAAAGAAAGAATGAATGAAAGGAAAGAAAAATCAATAAAGAAAGTACAAAGCAACGATTTCAAAAAAGAAAGAAAAAAAAATGAAAAAAAAGAAAGAAAGAAAAAGAAAACAGAAAAAAAGCTGCAATGCGAAAAGAAGAAATATTAGTCGAGAGAAGAGAACCAGACACGAATAAGAAAGAAAGAAAGAAAGAAAGAAAGAAAGAAAGAAAGAAAGAAAGAAAGAAAGAAAGAAAGAAAGAAAGCTGCAATGCGAAAAGAAGAAAGAAATATTAGTGGAGAGAACCAGACACGAATAAGAAAGAAAGAAAGAAAGAAAGAAAGAAAGAAAGAAAGAAAGAAAGAAAAAGAAAGAAAGAAAGAAAGAAAGCTGCAATGCGAAAAGAAGAAAGAAATATTAGTGGATAGAAGAGAACCAGACACGAATAAGAAAGAAAGAAAGAAAGAAAGAAAGAAAGAAAGAAAAAAGAAAGAAAGAAATATTAGTGGAGAGAAACCAGACACGAATAGAAACGAATAAGAAAGAAATAAAGAAAGAAAGAAAGAAAGAAAAAGAAAAGAAAGAAAGAAAGAAAGAAAGAAAAAAAACATTAGTGGAGAGAAGAGAACCAGACAATGAATAAGAAAGAAAGAAAGAAAGAAAGAAAGAAAGAAAGAAAGAAAGAAAGAAAGCTGCAATGCGAAAAGAAGAAAGAAAAATATTAGGGAGAGAAGAGAACCAGACACGAATAAGAAAAAAAGAAAAAAGAAAGAAAGAAAGAAAGAAAGAAAAGAAAGAAAGAAACATTAGGTGGAGAGAAGAGAACCAGACACGAATAAGAAAGAAAGAAAAAAAGAAAGAAAAGAAAGAAAAGAAAGAAAAAAGAAAAAGAAAGAAAAGAAATATTAGTGGAGAGAAGAGAACCAGACACGAATAAGAAAGAAAGAAAAAAGAAAGAAAGAAAGAAAGAAAGAAAGAAAGAAAGAAAGAAAGAAAGAAAGAAACATTAGTGGAGAGAAGAGAACCAGACACGAATAAGAAAGAAAGAAAGAAAGAAAGAAAGAAAGAAAGAAAGAAAGAAAGCTGCAATGCGAAAAGAAGAAAGAAATATTAGTGGAGAGTAGAGAACCAGACACGAATAAGAAAGAAAGAAAGAAACAAAGAAACAAAGAAAGAAACAAAGAAACAAAAGAAAGAAAGAAAGGAAAGAGGAAATTAATAAAGAAAGAAAAGGAAATAAAGCAAAGAGAAAGAAAGAAAAGATAAAAGATGGAAAAAAGAAAATAGAAAACTAATAAAGGTAGAAAACAAATGAGAATTATAAAAAAAATATAAAAACAGCTGTATACGAAATTACAACAACGGGAGAAAGAAAGAAAGAAAGAAAGAAAGAAAGAAATGTAGAAAGACGGCACCCGAATATTAAAGTAAACACCAGGGAGATCAAAAAAAGGAAAATGAAAGTGATGAGGCTGACAAACAATAAAACTGATTCACAGAAGCCGGAAAAGATCCAAAAAACTAAAAGTATAGAATAAAAAGCGTATCAAATAGTATTTAAGAAATGAATAAATGATTGTGTTAAAATCAGTCAAGAACATAAATAGCAAGAAAGAAATGGCATGCAAGATTTAGTCGTCGAAATAATAAAAGTGTAAGAAGCAAACCATCTGAAGAAGGATTTCAAAAGTCGAAAGAATATTTGGAAAGTAAGAATGCGTGATTGGATGAAAAAAAAAGATCTAAAAAGGAATGTAATTGGAGAATATAAAACGCCCAGCAAAAAAAAATACCACATCTCTCTCCCTCTCTTTTCAGTGACTGTGTTTGTGTTTGTGTGTGTGTCACAAGACCAGAAAATGAGACTTGATTTCTAAACAACCTCTATAATTAATGGTGCACCTCTCACAAGAACAGGGCTAATTTGGTTCAGTAAGCTCGTCTTGGACACTTAGTCATTGCATAGCATTTTATAAGCTGTTCTTTGGGGTGAGTCGAGAAAAGAAAGCATAATGGTTGGTCAGAGATGAAGCTTCCATTTTCTTATTTTTATTAGGGAAAGCCAAATTCACGACTGGAATCTTTAAGGGGAAATAAAAAAAAAGCAGTGAAAGGAAAAAGAATAAAAGATTAAAGGAAATGGAAATGAGAAAAAATGCTAAGTAGGAAAAGAAAGAAAGGAAATAAAGAAAGAAAATGAATGAGAAACGATTGCAACGAAAGAAGTGAGATAAATCTGGAAAAGAAAGAAAAATGTAGAAAGATTGTAAAAGGAAGAAAAGAAAAGTGGAAAAGTTTGCAAAGAAAGAAAGAAAGATAAAAGGAATGAGAAACGATTAAAAAGAAAAAAACAGGATACGCTTGGAAAAGAAAGAAAGAAAGAAAGAAAGAAAGAAAGAAAGAAAGAATGAGAAATGGTTAGAAAGGAAGAAATGAGATACGCTTGGAAAAGATAGAAAAACGAAGATTGCAAAATATGGAAAGAAAAAGTGGAAACGGTTAAAATAGAAAGAAAGTAAGAAGTCAAGAGAATTGATTAAAAAGAAAGAAATGGCATACGCTTCGAAAAGTAAAAAAATGGGCAAAGAATGTGATACAAGGAAAGAAAGTGGAATAGTTAACAAGAGAGAGAAAGAAAGAAAGAAAAATAAAAGGGAAATGATTGGAAAGAAAGAATGGAATACAATTGGAAGAGAAAGAAAAATGCAGATCGATTGTAAAAGAAAGAAAGAAAATTGGGAAAGGTTACAAAGAAAGAAACAAACAAAAAAGGAAAGGTTACAATAGAAAGAAACAAAAAAAACAAAAAGGAAGAAATAAAAATGAATGGGAAACTAGTGAAAAGAAATTAATGAGATGCGATTGGAAAAAATGTGCAAAGATTATAAAATGGAGGGAAGAAAAGTTAAGAAAGAAAGAAAGAAAAATAATTGGAACGGACGGAATGAGATACGTTGGAAAAGAAAGATAAATACAGAAAGATTGTAAAAAGAGGAAAGAAAATGGGAAATGTTACAAAAGAAAGAAAGAAAGAAAGAAAGAAAGAAAGAAAGAAAAAATAAAAATAAAAGGAAGGATAAACGATTAGAAAAGAGAAATGAGGTACGCTTAGAAAAGAAAGAGACTAAAGAAAGATTGTAAAATATGGAAAGAAAAAGTGGAAATGGTTACAAAAGAAAGAAAGAAAGAGAGAAAGAAATAAACAAACGAAGAGAAAAACCAATGAGAAACGATTGGAAAGAAAAGAATGAAATAGGTTGTAAAAGAAAGAAAAAAATGCAGAAAGATTGAAAAAGAAGGAAAGAAAAATCGGGAAGGTTACGAGAGAAAGAAAGAAAAATGAAAGAGAAAAAAAGAATGAGATACAATTAGAAAAGAAAGAAAAATGAGGAGAGATTGTGACAGAAGAAAAGAAAACGGGAAAAAGGTTACAATAGAAAGAAAGATATGTTGTAAATGAATGAAAACGAAAATTAAAAGGCGGTAAAAGATGGAAAGGTAAAATTTGGGAAAGCAAAAAACAAAGTGTTATAGAAAAAGAAATCGTGAAAGAAAAAAAAAATGAGAAAAGACGTAATGGAGACAAAATATTGAAAATGGAAAAACCGATGGAAATTAGGAAAAGGCCTGAAAAGAAAGTCGGAAAAAGTAAGAGAAGATGCTGTGAAAGAAAGAAGCAGGAGAATTAAAACTAAGCGAAGCCGTAAAGAATCGAAAATAAACGAAATAAGGGACGTGCGGTAACGCAGGTTGGATGAAAAGGCGTTTTCTTCTACAAAGAGTGATGTGGATGTGATCCCTATCTGCGGAATGTGAATCACGTAAGACACGCTATCTAAAACAAAAAAATAGGGTCTTTATTTCATATATAGGTACCTACGTTTGAAGTAACAAATGTTTCGGATGAAAAAGTAAACCCACTAATTCTTTAGAAAATGCTTTGTTTAAATTTCACATGCGAAACTGATTAGATATGGGCTTACGACAAAAATAGCCCAATTGAGGAGTTGTGCTTTTTTGAAAAGGGCAAATAGAGTCTTACTGAAATGTGAAACTCTATATATATATATATATATATATATATATATATAAATTAGAAAATCAGCCATTTCCGCTATCTTGGTTTCAGCCTTTCAGTATCTTCAAGTGATTTCGGTCAGTTGATTTCCTAACGCTTTATTTTTTTTTAAAAATAAAAAAAATTATAAAGGCTATATTTAAAAAAATAAATAAATGTATAAGCACACGACGTTAGATGTGCTAGAAGATGACTAGGAGTAGGAGAGTCGGAAATTTAAGTGTGTTGAAATGTATCGGTGAATATATACACACGTTCTTTTTATTCCACTTCAAAGGAACTCAAAACGAACATTTAACATGTATAACACGGGACATGATTTCCGATCTCTGGTTTAATTTTTTTTTTTTTTTTTTGATGGGGGAGATCTAGAAATATTCTTATAACTAATTTTTTTATTGACTTTGCGATTATTCAGTAATTGAAACCAAGGTAGCGGAATCTAATGATTTCCTAATATTCTATACTTAAAACTTCTAAATATTAATTTTTATCTTTTTATATATGTATGGAATACTTTTTAATACTATTGTTTCCTGGTCTAATTTGACCATTAACTTCTTTATTATTACTATGATATATATATATATATATGTAGTGTAACCTGGATATAAGAGACCCGGATATAAGAGAAATCCGGATATAAGAGAGATTTTCTCTGGCCCCAAATTAGAGCCTGTGTTAATGTAAACAAAACAGACCAAACCCGGATATAAGAGAAACCCGGATATAAGAGACTTCTTCTCCGGTCCCGACAACTTTCTTATATCCGGGTTACACTGTATATTAAAAAAAAAAACAGATCACTTTAAGGTTCCATATAATAAATTATTTCACCACAGCCCTTTTAAAGGACTGCAGATCATCAGACTTTACTTCCAAAGGTTGAAAAAAAAAAAAAAGAAAAAGAAATTTACACATTTTTGACGGGCTGTATTAAACATATGTAAATTAACGAAGTGAGGAATTGAGCGGGGAGAGAGAGAAGACATGAGTGAGTTAGCAGATATTGACACATTTAAACGGTTAACTTAACGGAAGTTATATATTGATATCGAAGGTGTAGAGAGGAAAAACCCAGAGAGAAAAAGAGAGAAGGAAGTCATGAGAGAAGGTGTCACTAATTTTCTTTGTAAAAAAAAAATGCCTAGAAACAGACGCTGTTATTTTGTTTGACTTTGAAAGTGTTATTTTGGGGGTTCATAAAGATTATAATGTTTGATATAAACTTAAATGTCTCTAAACCGTCTACAAATAATTTAATTTGATGTTTGTTAGTGATTTAATTTTTTTTTTAAATTTGGGGATTTTCTATGAAAGAGTCGATTAGAAAAATATTCATAGAAAGTACATTAAAAGAATAAAATTTTATTTTAAAATATAAATTTACTTCTAGTAATCTTTTTTTTTTATTTAAATTATTTGCTCTGGATTTACATTGAACTCTCTGGTTTTTATCCTGCTTGGGTTTACCCATACGGATTAACTAGATTTTCACAAACTAATTAACTATATATATATATATATATATATATATATATATATATATTAAGCTGAGATCTATTGTCTGCTTCGTCCGTGGCATTTATTTCCACCGACTGAGTGTATCAATAGTCCCGAAAAGTGTGGATGGTTCTTCACAAGCTTTCACCATTTTAATCAAATCACTTGTGTGGGTTTTCTGGCCGTTTACCTTTCTAATGATTCGTTCATTCTTAAATCACATCAAATTGTCAGCTGTATATATATCACATAACACCCTTGAGCGCTTAGCCTTGGATTGGGTAGAATGGAGATCAACGTGTTTTAGTGGACTCAGCAGTTTTCAGTCTGCTTGTCTGAATTGTCTTCAAGAGGCGAGAGCAATATCTAAAGGGTCAGCCAATCTAACAGTGATCTCGTCTCACAGTCCTCACTCTTGCTCTATATGTGGCCTCCTTTGTAAATCACTAAGTGCCAGTTAAGATTATCTCATAAAATTCCATTTAAGATTGCAGATCGCCATACGTCGAAACCGACGGGAGAGTCCATTATTATATATTAAGTTGATATTACTTCAAACTTTATTATTCTTTAAACTGGCATATTTTCTTTTTCTTTCGATTGAAATACCTGTGTTTCCTTTTTGTTTTAACTGTTATGTTGTTATTTCTTCATTTTTTTTAAATTATCGTTTACAAAAATATAATTTTATCCCTTTTTCTCATCAAAGTTTTCTGCCTTACAATTTTTTTCCTTCACCTCGACAAAGACAAAATATTTTCACTCAACCTCCTGTTGATCGTTCATTTGTCTTCCCACCACAGTTATACCTGTTCCTCGTTTCCAAAAATCCCTACTTATGTTAAAATTATCGATATCATAAAGCCATCTAAGTGGTCAATTTCATAAAATGGCAATTTTCAAACCCTCTGTTCTTGAGTGTCTTTTAGTAATGGCCATCTATTCATATCGTAAAATGCTTCTAATTATTATAGAAGCTGGCATGAAGCGTGTAGATCAGGGCTTCTTAAGCTGATGTCCATGTAACCATGAGGTGTCGATGGACACGTTTCAGGGGATCCCTGAGGATCAGATGCAAATTAATATTTATATTCACTATACAGCCCTTGTCCGATATCAACAATTTCCCAGTGAAAGAAATACAGGATGCGATGAATATTTTGTCATCTAAATTACGCTAAATAAAAAAATAAAAATAAAAAAAAACACTAACATCTTATTTTCAGATATAATTACAAAAATTACATAAAAATATATTGAAATATTAAATCATAAATTTATTCAATAAAATCGATTCCAGAAAACTTCGGAATGTCCAGTAAATATTCTGGACGGTCATCTTGTTTAATTTGATGAATAATGTCATAATCCATGTCTTCATCCATCTTTGGTTCTACAAGGAGTTTTGTTGGTATCTCGCTCAATTCCACCTCATTAACTAATTAATCCTGTTAATTAAGAGGGTGTAGTCTGGGAGAGTTAAGTGGTTAGATTTAAGAGGGGATGTGGTAGCAGAAATTGTCTGAAAGCTACGACTAGGTTCTCCTGCTTGTGTGGCATGGTGCAGAGTCCTGTTGAGAGACATAGGATCTTCTAGCAGCTAAACACTTGACTTATGACAGCACTACCTCCTCAAGGCATTTGATGTAGGCCTCCGTGTTGATGGCCTGTTCTCAGTTCCGTCTACCCATTTTGATTCGCGAGATTTAGGTCAACTCGTGGTATGGTATTCCGGGAATTTCCTTAGAGTCGGCACGCTTAAATCGGCTACACAGTGCAATAACATCATTAATAAGTTACCTCATTAACAAATCAACCTATGGCGAGATTCAAACACGAGTCTCGTGGTTGAAAAGCCATCTCTCTAACAACTCGGCCACACACCCAGAACGATAGATAGATAGATAGATAGATAGATAGATAGATAGATAGATAGATAGATAGATAAGTTTTGGGGCATTGTACATTTGCCAATATTTCCAAACGAAAAACATTTACCTTGCAGCTATAAACTGCAATCTGCAATAGTAAAAATGTAACAAAAATCTAGTATCTCTTTTAATGTAGTTTAACATTTCTTGTACAAAATATTTTAACGTCATAATGCTGACGCGCAAGTTCAAAAGACGCTCTGGCTGTTCGTTTAAATAAGAACTGATATTTATTTAAATCGAAAAATATATTCACGCATACATCTCTTTCATCTCTCACTGTCTCTCTCTCTCTCTTCATACACACTCATACACAGATATATATATATATATATATATATATATATATATATATATATATATATATATATATATATATATATATATATATGTATGTGTGTGTATCAAACGTTCAAATACGAAAAAATGACAGACTAACCTAGGACGACTTAAAAGCTTCCATTAAGACTATCTTTTGATATGGAACGGGATTCAGTCTTTGCTGCTAGATTAGCGGCTGACAACTATTTTCCAGCGTAATTTCCACAAATGGACTATCCTTTTTGTTACTTACCAAAGATCATTTATTTCTCTCATATACGGGCCCAAATATAATGTAAAAGCCACACCAAACTCTCCAACCTCTCGCCGTTCGAATCAAACCAACGTTGGTGTATCGGTAAAAGTACACCTTTGTATTACATCTCATGTCGCTTTGTTTCATGACTTCCATGTTTTTTTTGTAATGTTAGGCTTCATTTTACGTACGAATGTAAACCAACACGAAAAGGTTAATTTGTGCATCGATATATACTCTACATGAACAGACTATATCTTATATTTTTTATCCAACAATATTATTTAATGAATTTATTTATTTCCCGCTAGTATTTCGTGATTTTTGATGGAGATAGATTGACAGCAAGTATCTGCAAAATCACACACTTACCGTTTCCTTCGGGATATTTCAATATGTTACAGATGTTTTCGTCTTTCGGAAAATCTTTCTCGGGTCATTTCAAGTATTGGGTTGTCATATATATCTATTCGTTTTTTTTTTTTTCAATGTTATTTGAATTAAAGCACAAAATATTTTTACCGTCGTGTTTTACTTGCAGCACTATTCTGCCTCGAAGGCTTTTGCTTATTCTTTTATATTATTGACTGATTTGTCAAAAGTGTCGATGTAACAGTATCAAATAGAAGAAAACGAACGAATTTATCTGACGTCCTAATAATACAATGACTTCTTTAATTTATATTCTCAATATACCACCCATTTATGTTCAAATAACGAACGAATTTATCTGACAAACCAATAATACAAAACTTTCTTTCGTTATTGCCCAGATATCCGTAATAACAGTCCCTATAACGAACGAATTTATCTGACAACCTAAAAAATACAATTTAAATTTCTTAAATTTCAAATAACGAACGAATTTATCTGACAAACCAATAATACAAAACAATTTCACTTTCGTTAAGATATTGCCCAGATATCCATAATTTAACATTCCGAATAACGAACGAATTCATCTGTCAACCTAAAAAATACAATTTACATTAATATTGTCCATATATCCATTTTAACTGTCAAAATAACGAACGAATTTAACAGACAATGCAATAATAAAAACTGTAATTTGCCTTAATAAATAAGACATATTGCCAAGATATCCATCAACACTACAAATAACGAACGAATTTCTCTGAATATCTAAATAATACAGTACAACAATCATTTACGTTAATAAATGACTGTCCAGATATGTTTTTTAACTGTCGAAGTAACGAACAAACTTATCTGACAATCCAATGATACAATACAAAAATCTTTCATTTGTTAATAAATAAGACATATTGTTTAGATTTACATTTTTAACTTTTTCCTTGCAACCTTCGAGAACGACACCAACAATTTACTCGTCCTTCGCCATGTTGTTACCACGAGGTTTCAACCACTGCTTTTAGAAGAGATTTCCGGTCGCTTTATTATTTCTGTTGTTACCTTAAAGTTTCTGCCATTGTGGTGCTGATGTTGACATCACAAAGTTAAAATGGTTGTATTTTTAATACATTTAAAAAATCATTTACACTGTTGTTTGGTTGATGTGATTGCCGCTGTGGTTCAGCTTCTTGTGCTAGTGACGTGACCAAAATGTTTTGTGCATTGGTTTGCTGATAGTGTGATAAAGCCTTGCACTTTACCTATGCAACTTACTCGGTCGTCTAGGTCTAATTTTTGGGCGATTACTTTAGCTTCCTTATTGATATCGTGTTCTATTGTTTCCAGTGCTTTTTTGTAAGTTTTGCTTATGTTGCCCTTGAGTAATTTGTTTGTGTAGGAAGGCTTACTTCATATAAATTTCTTGTTTTGTCCGCCGCGATAAATATATTTGTTGGATTGTTTATTTTAGTTATATCTTCTTTTAGTTTTTTTTTTTATTTTAGTTTTCTTTTTTTTGCGGAGGATGGGTCTTGTTTTTTTCATGGAATTTTATGTTTCTAACTAGGTCAGATGAGTCTTTCTCAAACCAAACAGAGTAAATAAAAATATACAAAATAAAAAATAAGTAAGTAAATAAAACAAATAAAAATTAATCCAAATAAATAAACAAATTAACAAATCGCCCCCGCTAAATTAACCGTTAGGACTAATAAAAATAAGCATAAATAGGCAAAAACAAGTAAAAATAATCAATCCAAATAAATAAATTAATTAAAACATGTCCCCCGCCAAAATAACAGAATAGACTTCAGCAAGCAATCTAAACATTGGACGAATAAATAGCTTTAATTATCTTTCCTGACAAAAACAAAGTATTAAATAAGGAACCTAAGCATATCACTCCCAAATATTATTTACTACGTTAATAAAACATCAAAAACCGAACAGAATAAATAATAAAAAAGGAAAACAAGTAAAATAAATTAAACCAAACAAATAAATAAACCACTCCCGCAAAAATAACCGCCCGAATAGATTACCCACAACGCACCACTGACCCATAGTCATTAACATTTAGTGGCATTATCGCCTTGCTTAGGGGTGAAATGATTGAAAGCGTATATTTTAAATTTAAAATGAAAATTGATATAAGCATACACGTATGTGTCTGAGCAGGAAGCTGCAAGATTGATTAGCGAGCAACCCTACCAGAAAAGCATTCTGGGATACAAGATAGAGACACACACGCACACAGACACACACACGGACACACACACAGGAATACACATACAAAGAATGACCCATTTCGATCTGCCTCTGAAGAAAATAAAATTTAGAACAGGTCCGGACTTATCATTCACCTAGCGATATATATAGATAGATATAGAGAGAAATAAATATAGATATATCTGTCCTAATTTACGTTTTCTAAAAATAGATAATTATTTTCTTTTCACCTAGCGATATATATATATATATATATATATATATATATATATATATAGAGAGAGAGAGAGAGAGAGAGAGAGAGAAAAGATATAGATATATCTGTCCTAATTTTAATTTTCTAAAATGGTTAAATCTTTTTTTTCTTTTTTTCTTATATATATATATATATATATATATATATATATATATATATATATATATATATTATATAGAGATAGATAGATAGATAGATATAGAGAGAAAAAAATATAGATATATCTGTCCTAATTTTAATTTTCTTGAATGAGAGCTAAAATATATAGATATATCTGTCCTAATTTTCGTTTTCTTGAGAACCAGATCGATACGAGTCATTATTTCTCTCTCTCTCTCTCTCTCTCTCTCTCTCTGTGTATGTGTGTGTGCGTGTGCACACGCGCGCAGGCAAGGGCGTGTTTGTGTGTGTCTGGTCGCTCGTATCCCGGAATGTCTTTCTGTTAATATTACTAAATAACCACTCAAGCAGTGGGGTACATTAGTGTATCTGCAACTACAAAAGAAGTAGCCGTATATATTTATCAGACCTTAGTTACAGTTTTCTCGGAGAGACCGTATAATCCGGCGAGATCACCAAATTTAGGGAGACCAGTGCGCTTTAATCCTAGGCCACAATCACTTGGGGCTTGACGCTAGCGCAACTCTTGACGCCTTCCAAACATTTCTGTGTACCCAGTTTCACTAACAAGGCTTTGGTCAAAACGGGACATGTCCTTCATTCATTTTAAACCTGACGGAGGTACCTAAACTATTGTAATTGGAAAGTAGTTGTGGAACCTACTCTGAATTCATCAGATTTATTCAAAATATGGCATTAATAAATATTAAACAATTATAAAAACTCTGTATAGGGAGCAGTTATAACAAATTTAGTATAGGAGATAAGGAAATGGAATATAGAATACGCTGTGGCTAAGGAAAGTTTAACCTAACAACGCAAATGATATAAAACCGAAACATTGACTTAAAAACTCGTAAACAGCCTGTTCAGATCGAGAAATTCATATAGATGTCATGCATGAAACTGAATCCTATCAGAAATAGCTAAACTATCAGTTGCATACAAGGGCTTTCTCAAATAAATGATTAAACATGGCTTCGAGCGAAAAAGGCCTGTAACTCTTAGAGAAGACCATCCTTCTTCGAGTCCGGTTGACGGAATCACAAACAAAGAACTGCACCAAATAACAAGAGCTACATCCCCACCACTATCTAGGACTTCCAACAACAGAAACAACTAAAATGGATAACTCATGTAACTCAAACAAAGATTTAGAAAGGGAGTTCCTCACTGTAAATTATGCAAAGAGCGATAACAGTTAGCGGACTTGAGAAAACTCTTTTCCCGAAAAATTGTTTTAAGAGAGAGATTTTATAGATTTCAACAAAAAGTAGCACTGGCTGCTCGATCAATGAATTCCAAATTGTTTTAGCACACCTACAGACGATAATTGGTATGCTCCCATTCACATAAATACAGTACTAAATACTGTATGTTGGTCTACAGCTGTGCTGGTAAAAACTCTCTCCCTCTGGGCAGAGAGGATACCCAGACGAGGCTATGTCGAAGGGCATAGTCGTGTCTCGGGAAAC